ATATCCTTACAGTATTAACATGATGAACATTAAACTGGTCACCATGCAAAAGACATATGAGGGGGGAAAAAACAAAAAACATCCCATCACTTGGGGAATCAGGGCTTTTATGACGTCTTTCCTTCACCATCACAACTTTTTTTTACTGTACTAAAAAAATGCTCTTCATTTTTATTCCCAGTGTTAGCACAGGTTAACATTTGGATATTAGATTTTAAAAATTAACATAGTCCTCTGAAGTCCTTCATGCCCATAGGCTAAAGAAAATAGTTAAAGAAAAATGGTTAGAAAGCAAAATAAGTGTGCGAGACATCAAAGGTCATGTAGCATTACTGGTTAGTATAGCAGCAAAAAAGGTAACAAGGAGGGCTGAGTTCATTATTAAACATTCAGCACATCAAATGACATACAGCAATTTAGCATATGGGATTGGTTAAAAGTTAAAAAAAAAAGCAAAATAAATGTCTTAGAAAAAAAGGTCACGTAACACTATAGGAAGGCACAGTATCAGAAAGGGTAAAGATGGGGTGAGTTAATGATCAGGTGCTGTAAGTCAACAGTTGTACAGCAGTTGTATGGTATTGGAAAGGGTATGCTTAAGGTAATAAAAAGTCATTGTATACCACGAAATCTTTTATTAAGTATAAAATGGAACTTAGCCATCACAGATAAAGAGGGATACATGATAGTTTCAAAAGGCTTCTGAATAACAATGCGCTTTTCAGTTATAAAGATAAGTTATCTTTACCATGCATGGTATCGAAGATTCAATTAAAAATGATCTTTAAAAGTTATCACAGAAATCTGATTCAGGAAACTCTCGAGATCTAAGCGTTATTATGTATCCAGTGATGACAAAGGTCACAGTGCTGTATCCTGTGCCAGATTTGGCTTATCATATGTACTTTTAATATAATAAGCAGTATAAACATTTCAATTACCATATGTAAGATTTAGAAATAGGAATCCAACATTAAACAGAGGAATAAAAAAATAAGGCAACTTTAGGATACACTATAAAATCTAATCTTGATATGTCAAAGCAGTTCATTTACCAAAAGTTTGCTAATTTTCCTTTGTCAAAAATCCAGAATATCTACTAATTTTTAACTGAATAGACCAAAAATTTGTCAACTTATCCATAAATTGGACTGGATATAGTTGCATTGGACTCACATCTGGAACAAAATCCACGTAAGCCAAAGACATGTAAAATACACTGTTAAGATAATTACCTAACCAACAGCTTGGTCCACATTCCAAACTGCTATACAATTCAAAACATTTTTTTTTTCTCCCATACCACAGTATTTGGGCATTTCATTTGTACATTCATTGCCATGGTAGGCTTTACATACCCATGAATATATGGTCTGTAAAAGCCTAAATGCAGTATGTTAAACAATTGATACTTATCAATCTTAATTCATAAAAGTTTCAAAAAAGGACCCCTCACATATTATTCTGAAATCTATTACATGGTCACACAGGACAACAATAATTCTAACATTTTTGTCTTAGTCTTTTTAACTACACATGCACATTCAATATGAAATGTCTGATAAGCTAATAACCAAAAATAGTGCAATACTTAAACTATGACATTAAGCTCTGCAATATTAACAGCCCAACCTTTAAAAAGAAAAAGCCCTATAAAAAATTTATATTATCATTATTACTCCTAATTTCAAGGAAACTTTCAAGAAAATGAAGACTCTCACTCTTACTCGCACTTAATGATGATAAGTATGCGTAATGTCAATTTATAGTCTAGAGTCTATTACATGGTCCTATCACATTTTTTTGTTTTATTCTACTGAAATGTAAGTTTGTTTTATTCATTTCATAACACACAGTAATCTTTTCAAATATACTCCCACTTTTATTTTTTTTTCATTTGTGAGGATTATCTACAATTAAGTAGAAAAAAAGACAACTCATTGAGGATAAAAATATGAATTATCACAAGCACAAATTGCACATCCTTTACTGCACTTTAAGGTGAAGTATTCATTCCTCAAAATGACATAATGAGAAGAGAAATAATGCTTAAAAAACTGCTTTAACAACAAAAGTATTATGTGAATTTATCTGAAGCAAAGACGTTCTTTCAGCTTCTATAGTCATGTTTCTGAAATCATCACAACATCAGTATGGAATGTCTGAAATTTGCTGATGACATTGCAAATAATTATTTCCTTCCAATGTAGGTAGAGTAGACTTATGGCAACGATCATGCAGAAAAAGTAGAACTAACACATGAAAATATATGTACAAATAAAAATTATGTTTCATCCATTATGTTGTCCTTTTTCGAGTGGGAGATCAAATATATAAAATCCTTATCATGGTTATAAGTTCTGAGAGATTCACTTAATTTCATTTCTTTTGAAATATACAGATTGAGACATTTTATAAAAATCATAAGTTGCTATTACATCATCTACTGTCAACATACTTTTATCATAAATTAAGCAAAAACACTTTTGTCAATGGTGATCTTTAACTATCTCTTAAAAAAGGTAACTTCCATTCATATAATACATAGATTGTCCCTTAATTTTATGAAATTGTTTTTGTTATATTTTTAAGCATCCAGGAACTATAAAGCAAAATTAATGTACATGCAGTTATTTAAACCAATTAAGCACTTTTAGATTACTGGATAATTAATGAGTAATATAAATCAATAACAAAATACATTTCCAAGGGCTTGGTGCATCTTGTATATAATAATAATTATAATAATATATAATATAATAATAATAATAATATAATAATAATAATAATAAAAAAGAAATGTTACCAAAATAAAAACACAACAATCAGAGAATATGAATATCATCTGACAGGAATAAGGAGAGAGAAAAGAAAGCAAAGGAAATAAAGACGTTTAAAGGCCACTGTAACATCTACTATGCATTTGAAGTAAAGATCACAACTAATGATTAAAATATATACATATTTCTATTGCAAACTCATCCACAGACTGCATATAAAAATCTAAATTTCTCTTCTAAATCAGTTATTAATAAAACCTAATTAAGTATCTATGGTACCAAATTCTCAAAATGGATTTCTTCAAATGAGTATATGTCATAATCTCAATAGCATGTTTGTAAAATATCAATATTCTTCAATATGCTTTGCACTAATAGGAACGGTATGTTAGAATTCCTATAAAAGAAAAAAGTATGTGTGTATTCTTCAAATCAAAACTGTCTTTCAAGAAAAGTAAATTTTCAGTTTCACAGCACTTATTCTACACTTTGGCAACCATAAAACTGAAGGGTAGTGTCGAGTCTTATACCAACTTTTAATCAATGTATGGTTTCCAGACTCAAAAAACCTCTGCTTTGGTCATTTCCAGCTGATTTACCATTAATAATGCACATTTTCCCCTTACAAAATTCATTTACATTTCCCTTTAAGCCCTAGTTCAATTGTCAGTGCACACATAAAAAGCTGTACAATTCATTCTAACATATCTATCTATTGATGTCACTCTCTCCCATTACAAAATCACTCAACATGTTGACACTAAGTGTGCATGAATACATGCCCTGCCCCTGTGGTTCTGTTTTATGATCTTTGTTTACACACTGAAGGCTCCAGAAGCACTTTGTTACCAAGGAGTCAATTACTAGGCATATCTGACCTTGCTTATTACCTTACTCCTTGACTTTGGGGTAAAACCAAATTTCATAACTATTATCATTGTTTATAATACAATAATGATGTGGATAAAAAATACTATATTGTTAATAACAATAACAGTAGTGACAGAGACAAACTTTTTTCCCAAAAAATTCAAGGAATGGTAAAAACAGGTGAGACCAGATACACCTAGTAGATGACTTCTTGGTGACAAAGAGATTGTGAAGGCATTTATGTGTAAACAAATTAAACAAAACAAAACAACACTGGACAGTTTATACACATATCACCCATGGGGAAGGTTGATACATTTTGCTTGAAGTGTTAAATGAATTTCCCTTACACTAATTCCTTCAGCAAAAATAACATACCAATAAAAACACACAGAAGACATACTCTGTACTTCCCTCATATACAGACCAAAATCCCCAAAATACAACATTAAAAATCTAACAATGTCTTACCCAAAAAATTGAGTACAACTCCATAATCTCATATGTACTGGGTCTTTCCACACACAGAAACTACCATAAAGAAAATCTGAATTTAAATCATACTGAGAAAAACAATCCCAGCTGCTTATAAGCAATGGGATCAAGAATTATTAAAAACAGTTTTTAAAAATAATAATCTCATCATTTACATAACTAAGAGATCACTCTACATTAAAAATATTCACAACCAGCTATTCATAGCTTTCATCCTGTAAGGTTATTAAAAATATTAAAATGCATTCTTCCTAGCCATGTCTATATTGAGTCAATAAAATGATAAATAAACAAGTTTAACCACTGATATTGTTACTATCAAATACCAGTATTTCTGAAGGCTAATGTTGGCTGCCCATGCTAGAAAATAAAAAACATTATCAAGAAAGGCCCAATGAAGGTTATTGTTATTGTCATTGTAAAATAAGTGGTATTCGCTTCAATTTCCTTGATACACTTCAAATCAAGGCTTATGTTGAAGCATCTAATTCAGTCACTTTATCTCACTACAGAGGATCACAATGTTGAACCCTATTTCCTTTTAGCTACTAAAATTTTGTTGCTTGCATTTCAAATTTTTCACTTAGGTCTCCAATGTTCTTCATACCTTAAATAATTCAATAGTGAAGTCAACAGTGCTGGAAATCAATTAGTCTATCATAAATATTGCTCTGGGTTTTGTTTAAAATACTTTCTAGTTCTTGTAAAATTTAAGTAAATAATTAACAAGAAATAAAAAAAATCATATATACATAGATTATAAAGATTACAATATATATAATATATATATATATATATATATATATATATATATATATAATATATTATATTATAATTAAAGAAGTAAACAGAAATAGTTTAATAAAATTACATATTCTTCACTTTCTTTCCAATTCACCATGTAAAGATTTAAATTTAAGTAGCCTCTTATCAAATCTTACTTTAGACGAGATAAAGTCAATCAACACGAAGGATGTCTTGGCCCTTTGTATTTTTTGCACAACACCTTGTGGAAGTCTTTGAGAATATTTTTCTGGTCGTCCTGGCTCTGAAAAGTAGGCAAAAAATACATTTATATACTGTCACCATGTACGACTATGTGTCATGGGAGGGAGGGAGAGAGAGAGGGGAGGGGGCAAGAGAGAGAGGGGAAGAGGGAGAGAGAGAGAGGGAGAGAGAGAGAGGTAGAGAGGGAGAGAGAGAGGGAGGGAGAGAGGGGGAGGGGAGAGGGGAGACGGAAGAGGGGAGAGGGAAGAGGAGAGAGAAGAGGGAGAGAGAGAAAGAGAGAGAGAGAGAGAGAGAGAGAGAGAGAGAGAGAGGAGAGAGAGGAGAGGAGAGAGAGAGAGAGAGAAGAGAGAGAGAGAGAGAGAAAGAGAGAGAGAGAGAGAAGAAAGAGAGAGAGAGAGAGAGAGAGAGAGAGAGAGAGAGAGAGAGAGAGAGAGAGAGAGAGAGAGAGAGAGAGAGAAAGAGAGAGAAGAGAGAGAGAGAGAGAGAGAGAAAGAGAGAGAGAAGAGAGAGAGAGAGAGAGAGAAAGAGAGAGAGAAAGAGAGAGAGAGAGAGAGAGAAGAGAGGAGAGAGAGAGAGAGAGAGAGAGAGAGAGAGAGAGAGAGAGAGAGAGAGAGAGAGAGAGAGAGAGAAGAGAATGAATATCAGGAGGTTATAGCCTGTTTCTCATTCTTGTCTTATGGTTGTGTGGCAGTGTTATAATACTGTATGCTTTATTAGGCTGACACAGTCTCAACATCTATGAATGACACATTAATGAAATGTTTCAAGGACAATTTTAATAAATGTAAAGATCAATGGATGTTTAGTTTTAAGAATACATTCAAAATGATGGTTGCAGTTTATTTTAGATATCAAAACTGGATCTGGTGAGTTGTCCCTCATCTTCCATGGATCTCTTTTATAAATTAGAACAATAATATGAGGAATTGAAAAGTGTGAATGAAAAAATCTTTACGGTGCGAGAAATGTCCTTGAGCAGTTTCCACTATCTTTTCATTAGAAATACATGTCCTTCTGATGAATATATGGTTAAAGTCTGTCAAATACAGGTCTAGAGTTGTGAGGGTATTCATTATTTTTCATGTTTTTTTCTCAAAATTTGTTGCAATAAACAGTTGATGGAGAATTGAAAAGATACAACTGTTGTCATTCTGCAACTCAATAAAGACTTTTTTCAATAACTGCAATCAATGAAGCACAAAACTCACCCCATCTATGGTAATGGTAGGTATGAAGGTCACTTCAGGCTTCAACCTGTGTGTCATATCCCCCATATGTTTGAGGATACTAGTACCCTTATCAGATGTGACACAGCTGGATATTTTTCCCCAATTTTCTCCATGTTTCTCTACACACTGTGGAGAAAATATATAAGGTGCCGTTAGTTGAAGGAACTTGTGCTAGCTTCTAATTTCATCAGATATTGAATATTGAAATGTTTTGCTTAGTTTTCTTTCCATTAAGCAACAAAGTAAAACAAAACTCACCTTCTTTCCTACCACCATTGGCTGTTCATTTCTGTCTATCATACAATGAACAATTGCTATCTGCTTAGCTTCATCTTTTATCACATTTGTGACACAAGCATGGACAATATTTCCTTCACATTCTCTGGGACCATGCTGGCAATCAAAAGTTACTTTGCCATTTTTCTCTTGTGTCTGTAAAATAAGAGAACATCAGCATGTATTTATTCACTTCAAATTGTTTTTTTTCATTGTAGATAGCCTAATGATAAGTTCATACATAAATACAGTATTATATAATAAATAATTCCATTCAAAATATTTAGGATCATATTTCTTTACTTCCTGGAATCTGAGACACGCTCTCTATCATAACAGAAGCAGACAACACTTGCCTACCTACTAAATCACTGACAGTCTTTACTTTTACTGCTGCTTTATACCACTACTGTTTTGCTTTAATACCTAAACATATCTGTTCTATGACACCTAAAAATCTACAATCTTTAATCACATCTCTAGATCATTCACATCTAATATAAGAATTTCATGAACAGCACAACATTCTTAGGAACAAACATTCTCATGTATAAATACAATGAAGAGTTGTTTCAATTATACTTAATACACTACTCAAAAATTTATTCTAACATACCTCTGCCTTCCCATAGGGAACGAGCCCCACTTGTAGAATATCTTTTAGCTTTTCATACGCAGGAGTAAGCTGCTTCATGATGAAGTTGCGGCTATCGGGGCAGAGAACCTCATAATATATTTCTATCCTCATTGTAGGCCTTACAGCCACCTCCTGAAAAAGAATAATTAGAATTAAGTATGCACAAAAGTGGCAGTAATTATCAATGAAAGGAGAAGGAAGGGGTGGAGAATGAATGGAAGGGGAGATGATGTAGGGGAAGGGGAGAGGATGTAGGGAAAGGGCAAGGGCGGGGCGAGGGGGAGGGGGAATGGGAGAGGATGTAGGGAAAGGGCGAGGGG